GGCGGGCCGGGGGGGGCTTGCGTGCAAACAGGGATGTTTTTCAGCCTGGACTGGAACTCATCCACTGGAACTCATCTGTGTGATTTCAACACACTTATCGAAATTTCGATGTGCAGGTATTAGAAGTGATTGCGCTGCATGATGATTGCGGTAAATTGGCACTTTGTGACAATTGCTTTCCTTAAGCTATTTTAAAGTTGCATTTTTTTTTCTTCTCCCCGAATCGAACTTTTTCTTTTTTGCAGATCTGTTCGACTATATTCCCATAACCCATCATGCCATTTTGGACCCGTTCATGAGCAGGATTAATTTTCACATTTCAAGTATCTAATTAAACATGATTTTCAGGCCCTTGTTGGCCGATCGTGTGCTCTGTCAGTAAATATCACCCAATTATCTCAGTTGAATACGTCACGAGCGTCAAAGCGTTAAAAGACCGAGGCACTGGAGCTTGCGCGCTTTTACATATTCAGGAGTTGCTGGAGCGTTTTGGCAAATCGGACTATTTGTTCAAGCAGAAACACCCATCAGTCTGTTTAAGATCTCGCTACATTTTGTATTAATGGCTGCCTTCACAAGTGGAAACACTGAGATCTGAATTCCAACTGGATGCATCGCTGTTTTTTTTTTCTGGGATGTTACTCTAAATCACTAATTGTCACTGGACAGACAAAAACAAAATAATTCAAATAAATTCAAGATGTAAACACTGATTAGCTGGCCCTTGACGTGTGTCAAAAGGACTCAAAATGGGTTTTGGGTGTCTTTAAGTCCCTGTAAAATGTATTGTGCATTTCTAAATATATTATCATTTGTACATGTTTGAAGATGGCTGCTGAAAATGTGTGTAAAGATTGATTTTATCTACATTTCATTCAGATTGTTTAGCGTAATGTTCTCGCTGTTAGCCTTAAGCTAACCTAGCTTATTGCTAATGCACTCAGGGACAGTTAACATTAACTTGCCGTGTATCTTGGGTATGTTGACACGTTTAGAAGATGTTTCAACTGACCTCAAGCTAAATTTGTCTGAATGCAAGGGTACACATTCGGTTTTATTTAAAAACAGTTGGCCAGACAATCCAGCTATATTTGAGTAACCTCAGTTTCTTCACAAGTAACGCATTGTCCGGGTCAAGCTCTTCAGTCCACCAAGCTTCTTCTCTAACTACTGACCAAGCCTCTGCCCCAGATAACAACCAAAAACTGAAAAAGGCAGAATCAAACTTTTTTTTTTTTTATCCTTGGTGAAAGGAGAACGTCTCTTCTTTCATTTGGTAGTTTAATATAGGTATAATCATTGACCACCATATCCCGTGGCTCTTAAAAATGTCAAAAAGCTCAAAATGGCTGGAAGTGAGACCAAAAAACAAAAAGAGGAAAAAATTGTCTTCTGGTCTCCCCATGTTTTTCCCTTTATCATAGAGTATCTGTTCGCAGACGATGTGGTGTGTTCTGGTTTGCGACAGGATATCTTCAACTGGCACTGGAATGCATCAACTACACTCTCAGTTACTTCACTGCTATCTCAGTGAGACAATTGAGCTATTGTCATTAAGGCTTAGTAGGACCCCGGGAAGGTGAAATGAATTCACCTCCCCCTGCTTGAACAAGGAGGTCGAACAGCAAGATGTTACCAGCGGGGTCTGTAGTGCGAGGCCAAGTGAAATCAAGATTTTGTACTAAAAACTACTCGATTCATTTGAGTAACATTGGCGTGACTCCCCCTCAAATATTCCCAATGAAACATTACTGCGATCAGATTACACTTTGGTGGATTTTGGGCCTGATGCTTAATCTGTTGGGTAAATAGCTCAGCGGACTCGTGTTGTTCCCGTGTTGCCGCATATGACGTGTTAAATACGCCAATGTTTTTTTAATGAGTTTCTACTTTAGACAGGCAAGTCCAAATTCAGAGTCGCACGCCTTCAATGTCGTGCTAACGTTGTTCTGCAACATGCCGGGAAGCACCGAGAACCACTGGAAGTGATGCAGTGTCATTAATAGTCCGAAGAGGTGGCAGAGAAGGTACCCAATTTAGCTCCAGTAATCCCACAGGGCACTTATCCCAAATGTTTCAGAAACCGGAATTTTGACCTGAACCCGTATATTGACTGCATGTAAACATGGTCATAGATAAATCTACTTGTGGACAGCATTGAGTATGTATGTAAATGAGGCAGCCGAAGCAACGGGGCGCTCTTTCAAATGCAGGTGCTTTTGTCACAGTGCCACCACTGAAAGCCTTCAATTAACCATATCGTGGGTATATATTGTGTGCGTGTGCGTGTGTGTGCGTGTGTGTTTGTGTGCGCATGTGTCTGTGTGTGTGCGTGCCTTGTGTGTCTATAGATATGTATTTGCTTTTGCATGTGTGCATACGTATATTTGTGTGTGTTTATAACTATTATATGTATGTGCTCGTGTTTGCGTAAAAGCAAGCAAGCAGTGTGTGTATGTGTGTGTGTTTGGCGAAGGGGGATGGGGGGTATACTGAATAGAAGCATTTCACACATTTCCACACATGTTCTGACTGCGCACTCATGAATGTTTCCGAAAAACATTAAAAACTGTCCAGCGTGAGGCTTTTGTGCTTCAACGACACATCTGTGCAGATGTTTTTGTAAACCCCACAACGACGTAGAAGTGCGTGAACGCGACGATATGAGCATGCGCTACCTCCGCATTGTCATCGCTGTCACCAATAATCCTCGTAATATATATATTTTTTTACTCTGTGTTGTGAATTAGGTCACATTTAACGGCGAGGATAAGCGCTTCAGGAAAGATGGATCGTAGAATCTTTAAAAAGCGGTCGTGAGGAGCGTTCGTTTGAAAAGGGTCCGTTCAGTCGGCAAAATAGCGTCTTAAAATGATCTTCGTTTGTCGATACTATTGACTGACCTTGATGTGGCGCTCAGTCTGTCTGTGTTCGTGGGAGAACCGTCGTCCACGCAGCATCTTCCTGCATTGTCGCCGGAAAGGGCACATTGCCATATCGCCTCCACGCGAGGCAAATGAGCAGAACAAAACCATCCACGGAGAGGCAAAGTGGGAAGAAATTATAATTCATGAGAAAGAAAAAAAAACTCCGATTGTGACCAGGACTTTCGAAAAGCTATCCCTAAAGTTCCCTAGTAAAAAAAAAAAAACGTGTCTCCTCTGAACTTTTTTTGTTTTGTTTTGTTTTGTTTTTGTTTTTCTTCTCTGGTCGAATTCTGTGCATCGACTGAGTGGAGCGCGCACCGACACACGCAAACGCACCACACGAGCCATCGACTACGATTTGGGGGTGACGTCACAAGACTACACGCGTGGGATGCCGCGGGTGGGTGAAGTCACGTGACACGACCCCCAACTTTCCACCGTGTATATACATTTATGTGGACGATTTTAATGTTCTCTCTTCTCTTTTAGATTTTATAATTTAACTTTTTTTTAGTCTTGATTTCACTGTGGGTTGGCCTGCTGTAGTGAAATACAAATAAAGCTGCCTTGCTTTCCTACAGTGCGATTGTCTTACTACGATTGCTAGTGTATTCATACTCGTAATTGATTTGCGCCTGTTCCAATAAAGTCAAAGTCACTAGTTCAAGTGAAATCAATACAATATCTGAGTGCAATACAGTATTATAACGTGCTAATCATTTGTGACCACTAGGGGGTAGCAGTGTACAAGAATGAAAATAAGGCCATTGACAGCATCCGTTTAAAAGAAAAAAAAAGTCGTTTTTTTGTTAACGTTGGATTAGAACAAAAAAAATATGGACGTTGAGGTTTGCTCCATGAATGCATTTTGGAATTATCACAAGATTTAACAGCATAAGAATGTTTCTGCAAGCACTTGAATGTGTTGTTCTCCTGAGAAGTTTAGATCATGAGGTCGAGTCATTTATTTATTTATTTATTTATTTATTATAAAGCATCTGTCCTTAAAATAATTCCATACTTGTGTTGTCTTCACTTGAATCTTTTTATTTATTCTCTCATTGGCTCAAGTTGCAGTGAGGCCTCGTGTTTGTGATTAAATTTGATTACATAGATATCACCAAAATACGTTTAGGCCCAAGTCACTTGAGTTCCTGACTATTTGCTGCACAAGTAGTGTGTTATATCTTTTGGGATTTGCCTGGAGTTATGACTCAGTGTAGTCACTGTGTGCGTACCCTCTGCGGTTTATTAAATCAGTTTCCAAAAAAAAAACATCTGTATGACCCCACAGTACACTCTCTGTGGACAGATTAAAGGAATGACCCAGTTTTGCTGGAGTGACCAGGACTAAAAGCAAACCTCTGCCCTTGGCCAACCACACTGGAGATTATTAATAATAATCCAAAATGGGCAAAGCTGAATTGGGCATCTTGACGGCAGGTGCTCGGGCAGACAGTGTGATCCTGTGCTCACACAAGTGATGCAAAAACTTGGCCCTTTACTTCTTGATACGGACCAAAAAGTAGTGCTTTGTTGCCATCTTGCAGCATTTTCATTCCGAGGAACAATGTTGAAGTGGGTTGAGGAGCTTTAGATAACATTGTTATGGGACTTTTTCTTCAAGCAATCTGATTTTCAATTCTTTGCAGTGACCCACGATGACATAAATTTGCGTCACCAAAACATATTTGTAATCATATGCAATGCGTATGGTCTATGTAGATGATTTTTTTTTTTTTTACACCGTATTTTTGTCATGCCATTCGATACATTTGGATTTTCATTTGCTGCAGACGATGCACACGACACAGTTGTGTGTTACATTTTTGTATACTATTTATGTTTCTCTAATTTCTATGTGATACTGGTGGAATTAAGAGGTGGATTAAGTTGGGTAAGTCCTCACTGAAGGCCCAGGTACCAAATGCACGGCCGGCCGCTGTGTACATTTGGTGCACTTTGGATTTCACTAATCTGAAATGTTCCTGGCATGTGTTCTCTGCGCTCAACATGTTCTCCTGACACTTTTACGCAGTATTCCAGAGACGTGTAACAGACCAAAGGCCAAACTCATTCTCGATGTCGACATCGCTCCTTGACCACAGCCCAAAGAACATGGCGTGATGACGCGGACGCCCCAACATGTTTTCTCATGTAATCCCACCATGTCGTTTTTAAATACACTCAACACTAAAATGTTTCATTTTGACAACATGATTTACCAGATTGGGCTCTCATATAGGTTTCTTAATTCATCTTCAGAGACATGATCATGTTTAATGCAACATTAGTTTAGTATCCACATGATACATTTAAAAAATGTCTCAGATTATCATATTACTAGTGATGTCAAATTTTGTGAGGAGCACCGATAATAACCAATAACAATAAGTATGATAACCATAGGTCCAATTCCATTTTTTGTTACTTTATTTAATTTTTGGGATTTTCTGATAAAGAGCAGAATTCATTGTTTCATCAATTACAGTAAGTCGTCAAGGCCCTGAATTAGCAAAGCAGCCCCACCGCATCACGCTATCACCAACATTTTTGAATGTTGGTATGATATTCTTTTTCTGAAATGCTGTGTTACCTTTACACCAGCTGTAACGAGACACACACCTCCCAAAAAGTTTAACTTTTGTCTCATCGACAACCAAAAAATTAGGGCTGAACAATTTTGAAAAATGAACAAATTTTAATTTGTTTCCCCCCCCCCTTTATTTTTCTGATTGTGATTCAGTATGCAGTTATTTTTTTGAGTTCCTGTTTGTATGAGGAATTTTAAATGATGGCAGGTGTGTGCTGACTCTCATTTAACATGATTTCGAATGTGATTGGTTAATGCTGACTTATACTTGTGCATAGACATTTCACACGTCAATCAACAAGTTGTTCATTTTAACTTCCCCTCGAAGAGCTTTAAAAAAATGTCAATGGAGTTGGCGAACATTAATGGCGGAAAAGTTGAATGATCATTGTCTCATTTTTTTACACCAGAAAAACCATTCGAAGAGGCATGAAGTCTTTTTATATCCATTGCGTGTTTATGAGCGCTATTCCAAGCTGAGGAAGCATTTGTATTATTGTCAGCTACTATTGCTATTTTTTTTTTCCTCCATGTGGAACAGTGTTGTTAGACCCGTAACCCAAAAGTGGCCTTTTGCAGGCATGCTTCAAAATATTTCAGAAGCACATTTAATGCACACTTGGCCGGATCCATTGATGACGAGTAATCCACATCAGATGATTCCTACGCTTGCGGCGACTGGCTCAAGTCATAAGCGCGTGGCTGACTTTTCCCAGCAGGCACCCTGCTGCTTCTGACAGAGGTCAGCATTAGATGAACAACCAGCTTTAAACTCTCTAACTGTCATTATACTTTTTTTTTTTTTTTTTTAAACAATGTGCATGATGTAAAGCAGATATTTTGGTTTTGGCACACACACAAAAAAAGAAAAACCCTAACGAAACACAAAACATGTTGGTAAACATTGCATCCGCAGCTTTAGCGTCCATTGTGATTTTCGTTGAAGTCCGACGTCCACACAGACAGAGGCTGTGCATTACAAGATGAGGCTGGATTAGACCACAGTGGGTTAATCTTTAGGCCTGCCATCTGCCAGAGCAATGAGAATTAAACCTGAAGCCATGGCCTTCACTGTACATGTACGCACAAGGTAGCCCGTCTCTTCCAGTGCACTTCACTGTCAGATGATCCTTTAGCGCATGATACGAAATCTTAACACATGCATCTTAAGGTCGATGAGACATGTTTATTGCCGCCTTTCCCTTTGCACTTGTGTTTTGTGTGTCTCTTTCAACTTTGCATGTCGACTACTTGATTACATGCTCTTTGCAGCAAACCGGCGAGGGGCCGCTGAGCTCACGTTGTGTACGTTCATCCGCAGATTCTGAGATTATAAAGTCGATTGTACTTCAGCAGGAGAATGGACAGTGAAAGCTTTTTTTTTTTTTCACGTTTCTTAATCCTTTGGCATGAAATGAGTTTTAATAGCTCGGAAGTGAACAATGTGTGGCCTCTTTTTGTTTGCATACTATATATATATAT